ATTGCCTCCTCCCTGGGGGATGGACAGCAGAGAAGGGGTGGGGCGGCATCAGACAGTGTAACTTATGACAAAATTATAATAAGTTATGAATTATGAAGGGTTCATTGGGGCGAGGGAGTGGGCAGGAAGGGGGAAAATGAGCAACTGATATTAGGGACTAAAGTGGAAGGGAAATGTTTTGAGAATGATGAGGGCAATGAATGTACATATGTGCTTGACACAATGGATGTATGTATGGATTGTGATAAGAATTGTACAAGCCCCCAATAAAATAATTTTTAAAAAGCCCTGCTGTGTACAGGTGACACAACCTTGCTGAGAGTGACACAAGCTTGCTGAGAGTGAGGAGGACTTGAAGCACTTGCTGATGAAGATCAAGGATCATAGTCCTCAGTATGGATTACAACTCAAAAGCCCAAAACCCTTACAACTTGACTGATAGGTAACTTGATAAATGGAGAAAAGATTGAAGTTGTCAAGGATTTCATCTTGCTAAGATACATACCGTATATACTCGAGTATAAACCAAGTTTTTCAACAAAATTTTAATGCAGTTTTGTGGTAAAATTAGTTGCCTCAGAAGATATTCGGGTCGGTTTATACTTGAGTATATACGGTAATCAATGTTCCTGAAAGCAGAAGTCAAGAGATTAAATGATGGGTTACATTGGGCAAAACTCTTAGCGTCTTGAAAAGCAGGGAGGTTTCCTTTGAGGATAAAAGTGTGCCTTCTCTGGGACCATGATACTTCAATTGCCTCATATGCATTTGAAAGTTGGACACTGAGTAGGGATGAACAAGGAAGGATTTATGTGTTTGGATTGGGCTTCTGGTGAAGAATATTGAAAGTACCATGGACTGCCAAAAGAACACACAAATCTGTCTTGGAAGAAGTATGGCAAAAGTGGTCCTTAGAGGCAAGGATAGCAAGATTCATCCATACCTTGGATATGTTGTCAGGAGAGATCAGTCCCTGGAAAAGGACAACATGCTTACTAAAGTAGATGGGCGGTGAAAAAGAGGAAGGTCCTCAAATAGATGAGTTGGCACAGAGTCTGCAACAATGGGCTCCAACATAAGTGCAATTGTAAGGAGGGAGCAGGACCAGGCGGTGTTTCATTCTGTTGTGCATAGGGTCGTTATGTGTCAGGACCTATTCAGTGGCACCTAACATAAAAACCCATGACATATCTAAATTATTAACTCTTTAACTGATATAACATGTAGGTAGGTAGATAGATGATAGATAGATAGATAGATAGATAGATAGATAGATAGATAGGATGCTATATAGATAATAGAGATAGATAGATAGATAGATAGATAGATAGATAGATAGATAGATAGATAGATAGATAGATAGATAGATAGATAGATAGATG